GGATGTGTTTGTGAGGTTTCTGTTGTGGCAGGCTCTGACCTGGATGCTGTGCGTTCAGCATTGAACAGAAGCTGTTCTTGGTCTTGACCAGCAGAAGTTCTGGGGAGGTAGCTGTGAGCCACCACATGTGGCACTTGAAGTGGTTGGGGGCAGCATTCCTGAGAGTAGTTGTCAGACAGTGTGGTGAGGGTCAAGAGAGGTAGCGAGTGGGGAGGAAAATGATAGGGCAGGATGGGAAGGCAGCTGGCAGGTAGAAGCGGGTGGGAGCACAGCTAAGTTATAACCTGGGCCCTGTCTGGTAGCCTTGCAGAGTAGGATATGGATGAGCAGGGGCTGGATAGGAGCTAGCAAAGTCAGTGTTTCAGAGTAGTGGAGGAGTTTTGTCAGAGGAGGCTGGCTAGGGAGGGCCGGGTTGGGAAGGGCCTTGTTAATTCATGGTGAGGGGCGCCCAGCAAATTCTCTTCAAGAGGCTCTGAATCCTCTGGCTTCTGCATTTGATGAGGTGCCTGCTGCAAAAAGGTCAGGTGGTGCTCCTTATGGCTTCTCCCTGGAGCAGTCAGGTATTTGTTTTGTTTTTTTTTGAGACTGAGTCTCACTATGTTGCCCTGGGTAGAGTGACATGGTGTCACAGCTCATAGCAACCTCAAACTCTTGGGCTTAAGTGATTCTCTTGCCTCAGCCTCCCAAATAGTTGGGACCACAGACACTTGCCACAATGCCTGGCTATTTTGTTGTTGTTGTTGTAGTTGTTGTCGTTGAGCAGGTCTGGGCTGGGTTTGAACCTACCTGCCCCAGTGTATGTGACTGGTGCCCTAGCTGCTGAGCTACAGGTGCCTGTGGTCACAATTTTTAGATGATTTGGCTGTTAGGAAAGTGGATGACGGGGGTTTCTTGGAACAGTCTGGGTGAAAGGTGATGATCTGATTTAAAGCAGCAGCAGGGATGAGAAGTTGATGGATTTGAGGAATCTGTAAAGTGCCCTTTGTGTGATCAGTTTGTGTCTCGTGGGAGGGAGAGGAAGGTCCATGACCAGGTATGGAATGGGAGGTGGCATGTGAGGATGATGAGCACTTTGGCAGGGGGCGGAAGGTCAGAGTGGGGCCAGAGGCTTTGGGGTTTCTGAGACACCCAGTAGAGATGTCCAGGAAGCATTGGGGTGGACGGGTCTGTGTTCCCAGTATAAGGGCTGATAGACACTATGATGTCATTGAGAAATCAACCTTCCTTTTGATGTGGGACTATATGAGCTTGTCCAGGCAGACAGGGCTGGGGTGGCAGGGTGCTGAGAGAGGTGAAAAGAACCCAGGGAACCCAGGGGTGTGGGTGGAGGAGGGTGTGAGGAAGAGGGCCAGCAACAGCTACTATGCCTTCGCTTCCTGGAGCTCTCCCCAACCCATGTGTCCCCTGCTCTGGGATGGAATGCCTGGTGAAGCTGGGGCTAAGCGAACACTTCTTGGGAAGAAAGAATGGTGAGGCTTTGTCGTCAGCTGACCTATTGGACTTTTAAAACCTGGTCTTTTTTTTTTTTTGAGACAGAGTCTCAAGCTGTCACCTTGGGTAAAGTGCCATGGCGTCATCTGTCATCCTGGGTAAAGTGCCATGGTGTCGTCATAGCTCACAGCATCCTACAGTTCTTGGACTTGGGCGATCCTCTTGCTTTTGTTTTTCTATTTTTTTAAGTAGAGATGGGGTCTTGCTCTTGCTCAGGATGGTCTCAGATTTGTGAACTCAAGTGATCTACCCACCTCAGCCTCCCAGAGTGCTAGGATTATAGGCATGTGCCACTGTGCACTGCCTCAGTTTTGATCTTAAGCTTTTCATTATGGATCTTTAAAACAGAGACTGGTAGTGATGGTTTATTTGTATCGCATGATAGTACACATGGTAGTGTTACAGTGCTTCATCATCAGCTTTAGGTTAGCAATAATCTGTTCTTAATTTATATTCATCTTATCCCCCCTTTTCTGCTAGAGTATTTTAACTCATATATGTATTTTACTTATAATACTTAAGAACTATTTCTCTAATTTCTCAATTACTTACATTTGGGGTTAACTCTTTGCTGTGCATTGTAAGATGTTTAGCTTATTCCCAATTTATTCCCACTAGATGTTGGAGGCCCTACAACCTCCTCCCACTTTGTGACATCTCAGAATCTGTCAAGACATGTCCTTGGGGGACACATTTGTCCCTAGTTGAGGACTACTGCTCTAACCAGATAAACTTTCTTTAAAAAATTTTAAAACCACAATACCATTATTATATTAGCAAAATTAACATTATTTCTTTTGGCTTGGTGCCTGTGGCTCAAGTGACTAAGGTGCCAGCCACATACATCTGAGCTGGCAGGTTTGAATCCAGCCCGGGCCTGCCATACAACAATGATGGCTGCAACCAAAAAATAGCCGGGCATTGTGGCGGGTGCCTGTAGTCCCAGCTAATTGAGAGGCGGAGGCAGGAGACTCGCTTGAGCCCCAGGAGTTGGAGGTTGCTGTGAGTTGTGATGCCATGGTGCTCTACCCAGGGTGACAGCTTGAGGCTCTGTCTCAAATAATAATAATAATAATGGTAATAATTTCTTAATTGTATATACTCCATATTCAAATTTACTGTCTCAAAAATTACTTTTTTACAGTTAGTTTGCTTCATTAAGGATCCAAACAAGAGCCTCATGTTGAATTTGTTTACAAACTTCCAATTTACTGTATCTTGCTCCCTCTCTTCTGTTTTGTAAGCTGTATGATTTGTTGAGAAATAGGGTCATGGGTCATTTGTTATATGGAATTTCCCGTGTTGAAATAGGCTCACTATATCCTCCTCTTCTCCATTTTCCTATAAATTGGTGGTTCGAGCATAATTAGGGGCTTGAGTAAATGAATGTTCAGATTAACTTTTTCTCTTCTTTATTCAACCTGGGGTTTGAATTCTAATTTCTGAGCTTTCTGTCCATCTCGTCTTTCATCTTTTGTTTGGGTGGAGAGCGTGACTCCCTCCAGGTGGGTCCAGGAGTACCCCATGGTGCCTGGTGCATAGTATTTCAACACAAAGTACCCCATGGATGCTGGGTGTGGTCGCTCATCTCTGTAATCCTAGCACTCTAGGAGGCTGAGGTGGGTGGATTGTTTGTGCTCAGGAGTTCCAGACCAGCCTGAGCAAGAGTGAGACCCTGTCTCTAAAAAATACCCAGGCGTTGTGGTGGGTCCCTATGGTCCCAGATACTCAGGAGGCTGAGGCAAGAGAATCACTTCAGCCCAAAAGTTTGAGGTTACTGTGAACTGTGGTGCCAGGACACTCTACTGAGGGCAACAAAGTGAGACTCTGTGTCAAAAATAGAAAAAAAAAGTACCTTATGGTGGCTGGTGCAGAGTAGACCTTGAACACATGTGGCCCCTCTCCTTCCAGTAGCAGCCCCTCATCTCCCAGCAACTGCCCTGTGTAGCTCAGTTGACACTCAGGCATGATTATGTTCTCTTTCTGTGTGCCTGTGGGGTCCTCTGTTCTCTTAATCTGTGCTCTCTTGTTTTTATCCTGGAGGACGTTTGGATGAACACTTGCCAAATCTGCACTAACCGTCCTTTTCTAATCTGTGGTGAGGCCCTCTTTCCCTCCCTGCCACTTTCTTTGCTGAGTTCTGGGCCTGGCTGGTTGCTGGAGATGAGCCTTGTTTACAAACCTGCCTCTTGTTCCCACAGATCTTTGTGGAGTTCACCTCTGTGTTTGACTGCCAGAAAGCCATGCAGGGCCTGACAGGCCGCAAGTTCGCCAACAGAGTGGTTGTCACAAAGTACTGTGACCCCGACTCTTACCACCGCCGGGACTTCTGGTAGAGGCGGGCAGGGGAGGGTGGGGGCAGGGCTGGCTGGGGGCTTCTTCCTCCTCCGGTCCCCCTTTTCCCTCTCTGAAGATGGGCAGAGGAGTGACAGCCGAATGACAGCCGGCAGCAACTGGAATGGCAGCAATTAGGGGTGGGGGGTAGGGGGGTGGGGGGATAGGGCAGGGAGGGGACTGGGGAGGTGTGCACACAGGCCCACTCAGACACACGCACCCATACAGACACAGAGGGAAGGGGTTGGGATGGGGATGGGGTGCACAGTAGGGTGGGTAGGACCCCCATAGCCCCTCCCAAAACAGCCTCTCCTCCTTTGGACCCCCTTCTCCCCTTCCCCCCATGGTAGGATTATAGCGTGTTTATATTTTATGGCCAAACTATTTTGAATTTTGTTGTCCGGCCTTCAGCGCCCAGCCCTCCCTTTTACCAGGACCACAGCTCCATTCCTTTGGCCTCTGGTCCTCTCTGACCCCCTGGTTTCTTACATAGTTGACTCTGTCCTCTTAGTCTCCCCGACCTGCGCCCAGCCCAGTGGCCCCTGTCCCTCTTCTCTCTGTGGCAGTTTCATATTTGCTAAGACGAATTTGCTCATTAAACATTTTGTTGTATTTTATTTTATGGAACTGCGCTGTGTCCACTGTGTACGGCCACTCTCCCTTTCGGTGCTGGTGGGCGGTTTCCTTTGGAAAAGTGCGGGCTGAAGCTCCCGCTTGGGAGGGTGCGCTGGGGCCCCCGGGCACGCCTGCGGGCCTCGGAGGGCGGTCCCTGGAGGGTGCGGGCAAGGTGGGATCCTGCACCATCTGGGGAGGGCAGGCGGCTTCGTGTGCTCCGGGCGGTCACAGTGTGGGCAGACTGCGGACCTCAGCTTGCACTTCGGTGACCCTCATATGCAGCCCTCCCGTACTTCCAGGCTCTCAGTCGAGCTCCGCAACTGCAGGCGGAAGTGATGTAAGGGCGCCTAGCAACGGGCGCTCGCGCGCCGGAAGTGATGCACCCTGGCTGGCTAGGCAGCCAAAACGAGAGCGACTGGGCCTGGCGAGGCGCTGAGGGCGGGGCGCTGAGCCACTTCCGCTTCCGGTCCATCGCCTGCTTCGGTTTCCTCTCGTCCCTTTGGCGGCTCCCCTCCCCCGCCCGGCTATCTGCGCCCCTCCCGGGCGGCGGGGCGGCGGGGCAGTCGGCGTGCGGCCGTCCTTGCGTCCGCGCGCCTCCGCCTTTGCTGCCCGGGGCTCGGTGTGTGCCCCCGACACCGAGGCAGAGCGCGGATAGGGGGCTGACCGCCATGACCCCCCGGATCCCGGCGTGACGGGGCCGAGGTGAGCGCGGGGCTGGGGGCGCGGGGCGGATCGCGGAGGTCCGACCTGCCCTGAACACCCAGGCCTGGGCTGCAATGCGCGCGGTTTCGTCTGGGCCTCGGGATCTGGGTTCTAGTCCCTGTCGGCTTCTGTGTCTCTGCACCTGGGTCGGCCCGGAATGCCCCCGTGTCTCTGTTGGTCTCCAAGTCTCGCGTCTCTGTTTCCTGGTTTTCTGCCTGTGCCTCTGTTGCTCTATCCCCGTGTTTGTTTTGGTGCTTTTAAAAAAGGATTTGGAGATAGGAGTGTTCCTGTGCGTCTGTCCCGGCTCTTTCTCCTTAAGTTTCTGTGTCTAATTGTCAGGATTCTATTCTGGACTACGTATATCTCTCTGGGTTTCCACGTCTTTATTTCCCCAGGTAACTCCTTCTTGTCCTTAACAGACACCCCTCTACTTCTGGTGCACATCTTCCTGCTGCCTAGTCTAAGCATCTCAGTCTTGTCTCCATACCTATTACTAATCTGAAGTTTCTTTTCAGCTGTCTGTTGCTTAGTTTAGGATCTGCCGCTTCCTCCGGGTTTCTTAATCTCTAGTGTGGTGGCCAAGAGCTCCAACCCTCGACTCAGAGGTCCTGCTGCTAGCTAGCTGTGTGATATTTGCCAGGTGATTTCTGTCTCCAAACCTCTCAGCTCCCTAAACTTTAAAATGGGTGCATTCATCGTTGCTACATTGTAGCAGCCTTGTGTTTTTAAATCCAAGTGATGCTTATAAAGTGCTTATAACAGTGTCTGGTATGTAGCAAATGTGTAATTACTGGGAGCTCTGGTTTTTAGTGTTACAGTACTTAGAGATTTTCTGTTTTACACATTAAGTGTTAGATATTTGTCATTTTAGTACCTTGGAGAATTTTGCCATATCTTTTGTATTCTATTTATTCTAATAATTTTCTTTGAGTAAATTTAATTTGAAAAAGTCTCATTCTAAGCAATATCTGTGATCTTAGCTTTGATGTCCTAGTTGTATATTTTTTCTAACACTCTTCAAATAAGTACACATATTAAAATAGCACATCTTCTGCTGCCACCCATTTGGAAATGTCTTATTTTTTCTCTGATAATAATAACAGTCAGTGTTACTGAGTGCTGACTTATCAGTGGGACACAGTGCTAAGCACTTTATGTACCCATCTTGTTTAATCAACAAGCCTGCCAGGTAGGAATTCTTTCCTTCATTTCAGAGTTGAGCAAACTGAATCTCAGGGAGGTTTGCTCCTCTGGTAGCTGATGTGGTCAGGATTTGAACCTAGATTTCATGTTCTTTTCCATTATATCCTATTTTTCTCAGCCCCAGGGCTCTTTTCTCTTTTCTCTTTTTGTCCTCCTGCCTCTTACCATGTTTTCTTATCTGTTTCTTATTATGTCTTTGTCTGTGTTACCCTGTCTCTGGATTGGTCTTTCTCCCTGGGTTTTTCTGTGTCTCTTTCTGTCCATGTGTCTGTGTCTGTCATTTCTTGTCACTAATCTTTTCTGTATTTGTCACATCATTTCTTCATTTTAGTGTGTGTGGCTGTGTCTAAGTTGGGATTGTGATCACTTTTGTTCAAATAGCTATACCTCTCTCTTCAGGCCCCTGGCTCTCTGGCCTGAGTTGAAGTCAGGGGTCAGCCTTTCTTGCTCACCCTCTTAAATCATGGTGCAGTGAAAACCTTGTTGGAGTGGCATTGACTGTGATGGTCTGAGCCTGCTCTGGGACCAGGTTGCTCCAAGAGTGAGATGTGTCCCTGGGCAAGGAAGATAGTTACCTGCTCTGGGTCTCAGCACTCTCCCCCACCCCCCAAGGTGGCTGTGAACATGGAGTTGCTGCAAGGGTTGGGTGAGTTACTGTGTGAACAGCATGGAGCAGGGCCTGGCTCAGGGTGAGAGTTGCATAAATGGCAGCTATGTTTGGTTGATTCTCTTCCTTCTGCTCTTCTCATCACTGATCTCAGCGAGGTTCATAATTTAGGTTAATTTAAAAGTGAGTTTTGGAGTTTCAAGTGGGCCTTGGGTAGAGTCTGCACTGCTATTCTAAGTGTCTGACCTCGGCTGAAATATTTACTCTCTAAAAGCCCAGTCTATGTTAAATGAGATAATGCACCTTGCAGAGCAAGTTCCTGCTAGGATGCAGGCTGTGAGGCCACCTCCTTATCTCTCCTTCTGAGCCATGGGCTTCTCCCGCCCTTGGGACGCCTAGTTGGCTGGTAACTTCTGTCCTCTTGCCACCCTGGGATGGCCCCCCCCTTCTGCTTGTTTTTTTAATACCTTCATGGGCTCCTTTCCTGTGTTGCTTTTGGATTCCTCCACTCCTGCCCCCTCCATCCTTGCTCCAGAGGTCTTTCCTGCCCTCCTTCCTTCACTTCCTTCCTGAACCATTTTCTGAATGGTTTTTCTGGGCCAGCTTCTCTGCTGGGAAAAGCCACATCCAGACAAATGTATTCTCTGTCCCTGTGGAGCTCAGGGGTCAACCTTAGCCATAGGATCAGACAAATGATTATAAAATCATGAAAGCAAGAGAGTCTACTGACAAGGCTCTGGGGATGGTAGCTGTGGTGTTGGGGTGCAGATTTGGGACGCTTAAGTGGAGCTGTTGGGGTGAGTGGGTATCCCTGGGGGAGGAAGGAAGAAGAGTACAAGGACGGAGGGTCTCGTGATGTGCTGCCTGCTTTCACAGAGCACTTTCTGCTCACCGTATTCTCTCAGTTCCCTAGATCACTGCATGGAGCCCCAGTTTACAGCGAAGAAAGCCAGGAGGCAAAAATTCTTGGCTCATTTGCCCCCTGTCCAAGGTGGCCAGCCAGGAGGTAGCCCAGCTGGGGTGAAGGCCTATGATCTGCACATTCTGCCTGGCTGAGCAGGGGCCCCAAGTGGGAAGGAGACAGCATGTTTGAGGAACTGAAAGATGGACGGTTAACTTTCAGATGGAGGTTAACAAAGGACAGAGCCTTCTGGGCCACAATTAGGACCTCATCTTCTGCTTTGAGGGCAATGGGAAGTCCCTGGAAGGTTGGGCACAGGCTCTCAGCAGTATCCTGTTTGTGTTTCCAAAGGTTCTCTCCCCTTCTTAAATGCAGTGACCAACCTCCAAGAGTCACTCCATCACGCCACGCCTTGAGGGGGCTGTGCCCCTTACTGCTGCTGGGCACCATGTCGACCTCATCTCTGAGGCGCCAGATGAAGAACATTGTCCACAACTACTCAGAGGCTGAGATCAAGGTTCGAGAGGCCACAAGCAACGACCCCTGGGGCCCATCCAGCTCCCTCATGTCTGAGATTGCTGACCTCACTTACAACGTTGTTGCCTTCTCGGAGATCATGAGCATGATCTGGAAGCGGCTCAATGACCATGGCAAGAACTGGCGGCATGTCTACAAGGTCAGCCCTGGGCCTGTGGGGCAGGGGTTGGGCAGGCTGTGCACCCCCTGACCATGTAAATCTATTTGAACAAGTGGTACATTTCTAAGATTCACACACGCAGAAGGACTAAGAAGGTCTCAGTTCCCTCCGTGCTGAGTGCACAGATGCCCGTTCCTCTCTCAGCCTCTGGGACCACCTCTGGACACCCATCCAAGCAGGTGTGTGCCCAGCAGCCCAGATGAGCCCAGACGTGCTATGTCAGACTTAGACTGTGTACTGTTTGCTGCTGTTTGTCTGACATTTGGGGAGAGGCAGGCCTTCAGGGACAGGGCACAGATAACAGGTGGTGTTACCTGCCAGGAGTCAGAGAGGAGGGGCTGGCTACCAAGGGGCAGCACGAGGAAATTTTGGGGATAGTGGGACTGCTTTGTATCTTGATTGCAGCAGTAATTACATGTCATCCACATTTGTCAGAACTCAGACCGTATGTTAAAATGAGTGAGTTATACTGTATGTAAATTTGTCCCCAATTTCAAAAAGGAAAATGAGACTCTCTTAGAGAATATCCTGTTAGGATATAAACGGTCACATTTATTTTTCTTTTAAAGTTTCATAATGCTCAGCTACATAGATTAATCATTACTAAACTAGTTCCCTGTTAATGGATTTTTTTTTCTTTAAGGCATGTGCAGTGGTCTGCTTTTATATAAGTAAGGGTGGGAGTATCCTTATATGTTTGCCAATTTCTAGAACAGGAATTTCTGGGTCAAAGGGTTGTATGCCTATGTGATTTTGGTAAATGCGGCTAATGCAACTACCACAGAAGTGGCCTGGTGCGTGCTAGACCACTGAGCAGATGCTCAGATCTTGGGTCACAGCCAGAGAAAGGCTTGAGTCTGGGCAGGACTCAGCAATCCTGTTTTCTGTTTGACCACTGCTCTTGGGGCCAAGGAGCCTGGTATCCCCCCCTCTGATCACTCTATGCCTTGTGTTACAGCACAGTGGCCAAGGATGTGGGCTGGGGCCAGGTGACTGGGTCATTGTCCTGGTGGTGGGGCCTCAGGCTAGTTATTGGGTGTTGGTAGATGTCTGACCCTGGGCAGGGGCTGGTGAGAGTCAGAAGGTCTTGGTGCTGCTGCTTTGGTGGCATCTGCACAGGGCCTAACCTCACAGACTTGGACTGGGGCCTGTCCTGGCCTAGCTCCCTGTCTTTGCTGATTTTTGACACCTCCTGCTCAAGTCTCAGAATGAGCAGGATGGTTCCCTCTGCTCAGAGGTGAGGCAGTTGAGGCCAGGGAGTTGAAGCAGTGAATTGAGGCCTGTTTTTTCTAACTTATTTTCAAGCCCATCCTGACATAGCCCATTTGGGTCTTGGTTTGGGTTAAATCACAGGTCAAGTCAATAAATTGGTCACTTACTGTGAAGGACTGGGTGGTGGTCCTCTGAGAATTGGAGAAAGGGCCAGGGATGCAGGCGAGTCTGTGAGAGGAGGTGGGGGGATGGGCACGTGAAGGGAGGCACATTCTTCCTGACCCTAGACCTGTGACTGGGTAGTGATACTGGGGACAGAGAACAGTAGAGTGGCCCTTGGTCAGGTGTGGCTGGCAGGTGTTAAGGTCTGGGAGTAAGGGGAGCCTGCTGCAGAGTGGGAGGGTGCAGGGCAGGGCCTCTGCTGCCATGTGGGTTCAGGCTGCTTTCTAAAGATGAGAATGGCTTTTGGATATTTCAGTAGCAAAAAAACCCTATAGGCAATGGGAGGTCTCTGTGGGCTGCACACAGTGAAGTGACTTGTCCCATGTTCATTCCACACATTGTCCTATGGCCCCTATGAGTGGGCCCTTGCTGGGCTTAGCCCTGATGGGATCCTGCCTGACCTCAAATAGCTCCTGGGTGTGTAGGGATGAGGTTTGGAAAATGTAGACAGCTTGGCTGGTGCCAGGGAGGAAGGGACATAGCACAGGACCCTGCCAGCCCTGGGACAGCTTCCTAGAGGAGGTAGGCCATGCTCATCACAGGTTCCAACTAACTCTTTCAGCCTGGTTCTTGCTAGGAACTGCTAAGAGGTATATTTGCTGAGGTATAATGTGTGTATCGTAAAATCCTCCCTTTCTCAGTACAATTCTCTGGACATAAGACTTAGGAACGTATCTCAGGACTGTCACTACAGTGAAGACATAATCTTTGTCACCCAAGCTCCCCATGATCCTTTGCAGTCCTTCCCAAGCTCTGCCCCTGCCCAGCCACCACTGCCCAGGTTTGTCCCTGCAGCCCCTCCTGATTTTTGTGGCTCCCCTTTCTCCCTTCCCCAAGTCAGAGGCTATGGGGCAGCAGTCTTTTCTTTGGGTGTGGTGGGGTGGGGGCAGGCGTGTGTGTGTGTGTGTGTGTGTGTGTGTGTCCCTGGCTCATATGGCTGAAGGCACAGGGCCGTTGCTGTACTTGGAGCCTGTGTTTTCTCATGCGGAAGCTGGAATACACTCTTGGTATGCCTCTGTCCTGAGCGTGGCGGTGTGGGGTCAGCAGGTGTCACTGTGCTCCTGCTGGCTGCATGTAGGTAGCTGAGCAAGGCATAGGACAGACACTTAGGAGGTGGAGGGTGCTTCCTGGGTCTGTTTCTGCCCAGTGCCTCCCTTT